ACACACACACACACACACACACACACACACACACACACACACACACTAAGCTCAGTGAGGACATGGCTGAGAGCCATGAGACGAGTGAGGACCTGCTGCTCTCCAGACACATGGGCTTTGTACTAAGGCGGAAAGGCTGGGGTCACATTACAGCAGGACCTTCCACAGCCCCACAGGTGAAGGTGCTTAGTCCCTGGTGAGGTGCACCTGGAAGGCGGGAGAAGCCGTTAAGTGGGCCGACTGGGAGTTTTTAGGACCCTGCGGTGTGCCATCACATGCTGGTCTCTTTGTACGCTTTGCGCCTTGACCATGGCAGCTCTACCCTTTTGTGCCCTCCAGACACGTGTGCTGCTTCTCCGTGAGCCGAAGGCCACGGGCTAGTCAGACGCAACTACCCTTCCCAAGCCGTGAGCAAACCTTCCTTCTCTCTACACAGACGGCATCAGGTATCTTGTTACAGTGCCGACAGGCTGGTGTGGGTGCCAGAGATGGCGGTGGTTGGCAGGATCTGACTCAGGGGCAGAGACAGGGGGATGGACAAAAGAGGCCACGCAGAGATGTGGGTGGCAGACAGCCACCACTGGCGGGCACAGTGGTGAGGAGCGCCAGGTGGGTCACGGACAGTCTAGCAGTAGGATCAAAAGGGCTTTCGAGGGGACCGTGCAGTTAGAGGGTAAGAGGTGTGGGTGCATGCCTCTGGGGACACATGTCATCACGTCTGAGCGTATCTCGGTGTGCAGACACAGTGGACTACTGCACACAGGCAAATCTGTGCACGCAAACTGACAGGCGTTGACTCTTCTGAGTCCATGTCGCTGTCATTCTGTTTGCTTGTGAAGTATATGTGTTGAGTATCCACGCTCACATGTTTCGTGAAGGCATATGTCCAGGGCTGGCAAGATGGCTCAGCAGAAAAGGCACTTGCCAGTCTTTCCTGATTACCTGAGGTCGATCCCCAAGACCAACATGGTGGGATGAGAAAAGTGACTACAGTAAAATGTCTACAGAACCTGACCTCTGACCTCCACATGTGAACCAGCATGTGTGTCCATACACACACACACACACACACACACACACACACACACACACACAATACAAAGGTACAAGTCCAGGGTTCAAAGTCTACAAAGAGAGGCAGGGAGGGGGAGACCCAGCTTCTATGAGCCCCAGAACCTTGTTCATGTTTCCTGGGTAGGGAACCCCCAGGCCAGCTGCTGGGGTCCACTCTGTTCAGCCAGTCAACCCTGGAGTGTGGGCTGAGTGAAGACGGGCTGCAGGCCAGGCTCACCTCCCCGGGCCGGATCTTGATGTAGAAGTTACTCCTCTTGTAGGAGATCTTGAGGATCTTGGGCCAGGCAAAACGGTTGATCCTCAGGCGGTCGCGGTAGATGAGCAGGCCGTTGGCACAGACGCCCAGCATGATGTCGATGGCCTCAGAGTCCTGCACAAGGAGACAGCACGGAGTGGGGGTTCTGGAGACCCCGCCACCACTCTGCTCCACGTGGAAGGAGTCCGGGGGGGGGGGAGGCGGAGGGGATATGGATCCCCAGGAACTACCTAAGGTGAAGGGCTTTCTTGTACCTTAGCATGGTGCAGATCAACTCCATACATAGACAGCTTCTTGGCATTCTCCAGGAAGTGGATCTCTGCCTCGCCTGGGGTCATGCCCCTGAGGATAGAAAATGACAGTTGAGGGCGTGGCAAAGGCCTAGGCTGCATCCAACTGGCTGCAGGTGTCACCATCAGAACCGGGCCTTCCAGAAGGACAGTGTCTGAGCCTGGCCTGAGGCCCTCCCCTCTGCCCTCATGACAGGACTGGGCATCCCTTTATGTCAGTCCTCCAGCCCCGTCCTCTGCAACACTCAGGTCCAGTCTGTTTCATCCAGAAAGCAGACAAGGGCTAGACCGGGAGTCAGGATGTTTGTCTCCGTTTCCGCCAAATTAGGCATGAAGTTTATGCACCCTGCCTCTCCTGACTGGGAGAGTGACCACGGAAGAAGACAGCATTCACTAGACTCACCCAATGGCTCCTCATCACCACCCTCAGAAGATGATCTAGTGTCAGACGCCACTTAACGTCCCTTGAGAAAGATGTACTCGGACACTTTTCTTAGACTCAAGTGTCATCTTCGCTGCGGCTGCCAGGGAGCTCAGGCTGCAAAGCTCATCATGGTGCTACATACTGTGGGGCACTTGGCCTCTATACAGCTGCTCCGTAAGGCAGGTGCTGGGCTCCGAAAGGCAGCCAGGGCTAGTGGAGGTTCACCAGCTTGCTGAAGGGCACCCCGTTATTAACCAACACCAGTGTCTGGATTCAACGCTAGGCAATGTATCTCCAGAGCTGGGTTTCAAAAGCAAATCTGTCTCTTACATCCTCTGGCCTCCATTTCCTCTGCCCACCTAGGAGCATCTGCGTGGGACTGACGGATGCCGGATGTCAAAGTGCTTTAAGTTCAAAGAGTTAGGGTGATTGCCGCTGGCGCCGATCAGGCTCATATTGATCTGTCCTTCTATGAATTACTACAACTCTCACAAATCCCCAGGGCACCTTGCCATCTAGGACAGGCATGAAAAGCAGATGTCAGGCAGGGCACCCTCCCCCTATGTCCAGGTGGCCATGACGACCTGTGTCCTTCTCTGCGCGATTCCATGCAGTCAGTACAAACCCAGCGATGCTGGTGTGCAAATCTCTGACAACATTTATTTGCCGTCTTTGACCCAGCATCCATCACACTAGCAGGCTCATCCCCATAGACGAACTCATCGCATCTGGTCATGATTGCCCTCTCAAGACACAGCCCACGGCCCACGCGCGCGTGCGTGCACACACACACACGCACACGCACACGCACACACACACATGCATAGGGATGAGATATCACCAGTCTTTCCTGTAGCTGTGGCACTGTGCCCTTTAGAATGTCCCCTTAACAACTTGAGTTTGGAGCCCAAAGCACTTGAGCTGAAAAGAAGCCTAGGGATTGTTTTGATCCAGGGCGGGTAGTATTCTCTGCAGAGCAGGCACTGAGAAATGGCCGCTGCGGTTGGTGCAGTAGCTTGGGGGTGTTACAGGCACTCAACGTCTGCAACCCAAGGAAGCCTGAGCTCCTGCACGAGAAATTCTGCGGTCCTAAATACCAACGGCTGCTCGCCGCTCATCATCTCAAGCTGTGTATTTATAGGTGAAAGCGGGGCTTGCCGAGGTTCAGCCATGAGCCGGCAAATCACACATCTGGCCAATTTTCTTCTAACTCCAGAACAAAGTGCGCAATCAACAACTCGACAAATATGCAATCAACAACTGAACAAAGCATGCGATGAATAGCACAAATGCCCCAAGTGACGGACAGCGACACTCAGCCCACACGCAGCGGGTCTTTGGTATCTGCTGTGCCGCCTCCTTAAGGGTGTCACGGGGCGTGATGACCAGTGCCATGCTGAAGAGATGAACACCAAAGCGCAGGGAAGCGAGCTGCTCGACCAGCATCCCCTGGATGAGAGGGCCACGGCCCCGTAGACATCTGCATTTAAGCTTTTGAATTTTCACCAAGAGCTCTGCATCGGACCCTTAGCCAGAGCTGTGCCACCATGATTATCTCTGGGATCCCCAGAGGCTCAGGACGGGGAATGCTACCCACCCAGGAACTCAAGAGGTTGAGATCCAAGCGGTCCCCTTACACAGACGGCCCCGGTTGTCCTGTCCCGGGGCACGCGCAGCATCCAGGGCCTAGCCCTTCAACCTGTGAGGGCCAGGCCATCGGGGCCAGGCTCGCTCACCTGTACGTCTTGTGCAGCTCCATGATCCTCTCCTCCAGCTCCCGGGTCTGGTTTGGGGCGAAGCGGAGCTCACTGACATAGTTGCCCGCGTGCTCCTCTGCATCATAGTCACCCAGCTCGGCCTGCACAGCGTAGGAGCCCAGCAGCGCATGCGTGACGAAGGAGCAGGGCAGGCGGCCTGTGATGATGTCTGCCCTCAGCTGCAGGCACAGGTAGTACCTGGAGACGGGGAAAGACGTGGTCATGGGTCTACACCTCCAGACCTTGACAGCTGGGCTACTGGAACCAAACAAAAGCAGTAGAGAAGGGCACCCTAGGCCCTGGCATTTCATGGCTGGTGAGTGGGTGTGTCCTCTGAGCAGGTTTTGAGACACGGCATATGACTTCCAGCAGTTTTGTTCGTTTCTGAGTTTTAAGAGTTTTGTTTGTTTTTGTTTTTGTTTTTTAAGAGAATTTATGAGATTTACAATGCATTTCCAAGTTCAATAGGCCTACTACTGGTTTAGCCGTTGGGAGAAAAATGAGTTGTGTTTTGTTGATTGGTTTGTTTTCTGTATGTATGCATGTTCATGTGTTTAAGATGCATGTGCAAGCGAACACATACCACCGTGTGCATGTGGAAGTACTTTTTATTTTTTTAATATTTTGGTTTTTCAAAACAGGGTTTCTCTGTGTCATAGCCCTGGCTGTCCTGGAACTCACTCTGTAGACCAGGCTGGACTCGAACTCACAGCCTGCCTCTGCCTCCTGGGTGTTGGGATTAAAGCCACACTACCCAGCTCAGAGGACAATTTCTAGATGTCGTTTACTTTATTGTTTGTGGATGAGTGTTTGCCTGAATGTAGGTATGTGTACAGCGTGTGTGCTTGGTGCCTATGGAAGTCTGAAGAGGGCGTCAGGGCCCTTGACTCTGGAGCTATGAATGGTCATGAGCCACCATGTGGGCGCTGGCAATTGAACCCGGGTCCTCTGCAAGAGCCACAAGGGCTCTTAACCACTGAGCCATCTCTCCAGCCCCAGTCGTTCCTGCCTATCACCCTGCTGAAGGCACGCTCTCGTTTTGTTGTCCACTGCTGTGCACAGCAAGAGAGCTGGCCCTGGACCTTCTGAGGCCCCTCCTGTGTCCACCTGCCATCTTACCATAGGAGCCCTGGGATTACAGACATGTACTACCAATCTGTCCTTTTACATGTGCTCTGGGGATCCGAACTCAATTCCACATACTTTCTTACAAGAACTTTACCCACTGAATCATCTCCCTAGCTCAGTTAGTTGGTTTTGAGACAAGGTCTCACTACGTAACTTAGGCTGGTCTGGAACTCATTATATAACCCAGGCTATTTTTGAAGATGAATCTTCCTGCCTCAGCCTTATGAATGTTGCAATTATAGGCATATACCACTATGTCTGGCTCTTATGAAGTTTTCACTATGAAATCTAATATTCTGTGTTTTCTTTTTTTTTTTAAAGATGTATTTATTTATTATGTATTCAATGTTCTGTCTGCATGGACACCTGCAGGCCAGAAGAGGGCACCAGATCGCATATAGATGGTTGTGAGCCACCATGTGGTTGATGGGAATTGAACTCAGGACCTCTGGAAGAGCGCCAGTGCTCTCAACCTCTGAGCCATCTCTCCAGCCCCGTTTTCTTTTTTACAGGGTATCACTGTATAACACCCTGGCCTCAGACTCAGGCACCCAGGGGACGGGATGGTAAGCCCGTATCACCACACCCGGCTTCACAGTGCTGGGCTAGAACCCCGGGCTCCCTCTATGCCAAGCAAGCACTCTACCGAATGTGCTGCACCCCCTGCCCTGCAAGTTAACATAGGCTCTGTTGCAGGATATTTGCTCACACGGTGAACCTCGAGATTGTCTTATTTACCGGAAAAACCTGTTTCTAGTTGTGGTTTGGCCTAGCCCTAGCACATATCTTTAGTACAAGAGCTTTTTATTTGAATATTGTAAACAACATTAAATCAAATCAATCCTAGGTCATGAAGTGGAGCAACCAACCAGCTGACAGCGAGTGAATGTGGGGAAAAAACATAGAAAGTAAGAGGAAGGCGGGGGATGGATAGAGAGACACATAGGAAGTAGAAGGGAGGGACATTACTTTGAGGGGTTTTTTGAGATGGTGTAGAAAGAGAGAGCTTCCTCCTTTTTTTGGGGGATGTCAACTGAGAAGGAAGGCCAGCTGGGTGCTTTCTCTGCCTCTCTGAGCTAGCAGGATTTCACTGCAGCATCTGGCTCCCGAGTCTTTATTGGTAAAATCGAACGATTGAGATTTTGTTTAAAAAAAAAATAAAAATAAAAATAAAACACTCTCAGATGGAAAAGAAAAAACTTTAGCAGTGTTTCTGAGTTTCTATTTGACAGCCATTCCCAGGTCCCTCTCTGGGGCCGCCAGTTAATCACATGATGTTCTGGACATTTCTCCCCCATAAACAGAAATGCACATGGCTTTAACTGATGGCTGTTTTAATATGCAAATGCTACGTCTGATTCCAGTGACATAACTTAAGAGAAGTCTCCATGTCGACACTCACAAATCTCCACATGGACTTTAACGTCTGTACCATACCCCACAGCCCAGAAAGAGAGAGTAAGGAGGAAAGGGGACACGTGCGTGTCACAGTGTGCAGAGGTCAGAGGACAGTTTTGCAGGTAGATTCTCGCCTTCCAACACCTGGGTCCTGGGGATTGGGCTCAGGTTGTCAGGCTTAGTGGCAAGTACCTTTACCAAATGAGCCATCTTGCTGGCCCTTTCCCCAAATTTTCTTTTGCCTCCAGCCCTAAGTAAACTGTTTAAAAACCAAACTGGTCTAAAGAAGCGTTCCCAGCCCCCAGGCAGTGACTTGCTGCTTACAGCCACAGCTGGATGTTGCCATTTGAGCTGTTTTGCTGCCACTTACGCAGGGACTGGTCACTGAGGTGAGGCATGGGCAGCTTCATCTTCCGCCAGGGCTGACTCCTTGCCCTTTTCTGCTGTGTTTTGCCAACTTTCTCCTTGACTTCCCAAGTTTCTTCCTTAAAACTGACTTTGACTTAGTAGAATTTTTAGTGTTCTGTGACATCATTTTAAAGTCATAACCAGAGCCATGTTAACGGTCACGTGCAACCTCAGTGTGCACGCAGGGTCAGAATCTGCAGCCTTTCACACATCACTGGGGTCTAGCATGGGCCTGTGACATTTTGTTCAAGAGTCTAAAGATTCAAAAATCATTGCCAACACTCTGGCCCATCCTTCATTTCAATCAATTTGTCATTTTGACCAGTTTATTTTGGGCCTCGCTATTTTTGACTAAATCAGCTGTTCCTACAGCCCTACCTTCTGGAACCATCTGTGCTGGACAGGGCTAACCTTCCTCCTGGAGTCCCTGGAAGCCTGATGCCCAGGGTCTGGCACAGAAGAGGATACATTGTGGTGGATGTGCTGGCCTAAAGCTCTGGATTAGGATATGGCTGCTGTCACCTTGGCCCCAAGCTGATCTCAGGGCTCAGAGTGGGGCTAATGAAGCCAAGGCCAGAGGCAGCATCTTGAACTTGATATATTGTCTACAATGGGTATCAGGCATTAAAAATGGACCTGATACCCAGGATGTGTGGTACAGGCCTGTAGCTTCAGACTAAGGAGATAGAGGCAGGAGGATCAGAAGTTCAAGGCTAGCCCAGGAAGCTTAGTGAGACTGTCTCAGATTTTCTTAAAAAATGGCTCTGGGACGATGCCTTGGAGGTTAAGAATACACACTGCTCTTCCGGAGGACCATGCTCTGTTCCCACAGCCCAGGCAGGGTGGTTCACAACTGCCTGAAACACTAGATCCAGGAGATCTGACGCCCCCTGCTGGCCTCTACAGGTACCCGTACACACGGCATACCCTCACGCAGACATAAATATTAATCAAATGATATTAAATAAACAATTTGTTATTTTATTAAATAAAAAATAAGTATTAACTATTTGAATAAACAAGCTGGAGGTGTAGAGAGTTTGTCTAGCATACACAAGGCCCTAGGTCCAATCCTTAGTACCCCAATGAAGGAAGAAAGAAAGAAAAGGACCCAGTGGGGGGGGGACCCCCACACCTCTGAGGTTAAGGTCACCTCCCCCTGACCTCTGTATCGGGGTCCTGTTTTCCTCAGATTCTCTACTTTCTTAAGATGGTCTGGCTGGGAAAGGCATCTGCATTTGCTACTCCCGAAATACACAGCCTCTGCCTCCCAGGACCAGCACGCCCTTCCCCATTGACAGTTACACGGACGGAACTAGCACCTCTCTCCCTGGCTTCACAGTCCTCACCTTGTGATGTCTTCTGTCAGCTGGGCTGGGTCAGGAGGGTAGAACTTGACTGTGAAGGCAAAATTCCAGGGGCTGCCTAAGAGGAAAAGGCAGGAGAGGTCAGAGAGGCCTTGTCAACCCCGGGACTGCCCCAGATGCGCGAGCCAGCGAGCATGAGCAATTTCCCATAGCTTTCCCTCTCCTGGAACATCATTCCCATTTTACAGATAAGGCAACTGAGGCCCAAGCTAACAGTCTTATGAGCAACACAGCGAGGTGGCTCAACGGGGAAAAGTGCCTGCCGTACAAGCTTGCTGACCTGAGTTCAATCCCTGGAACCCACGGTGAAAGAACAAACTCCAACAGGAAAGAAGATAAAAAGGAAGTAACCCTGTGTGCCACACGCATGCACCAAATTGCTTCACTAAAACACGATTAGCAGATGAGAATTTGGAGGCCAGGCAACAGGGGTGACCAGCTCTTCCCACAAGCATAGGAATTTAAGTTTCATAATCACCCTGAGAGTGAGGTTTTTGTTGATTGGTTGGTTGGTTAATTTTGTTGCTGTGTTTTGTTAGAGTTTTTATTTGTTTGGTGTTTTTGTTTCTGTTTTTGCAGCACTCAGGATCAAACCCAGGGCCTTGAGCATGCTGGTCAAGTACTGCGCCAGCGAGTTACCTTCCCTACCTGAGTTTCCTTCCCACAGACAAAGATTTTAAGGAGCGTTCAGCTAAATGCTAACAGAGAGCAGGTTCCTAAACTCCGGTCCCTCGACCCAGAGCCCAGGTTCTGAATCACAAAGACTCCTTAGAAAAGGCCTCCAGGGACAGGCCCTGTCTCAGGAAGGACAGCAGTGACAGCAAACATTGCTCAAAGCCGGAGCAGGCGCTGCTTCGTCATATATATATATACATATACATACATATACATATACACACACCTCATTATATCTTCACAGAACCCCAAAGCTGTGTTATCACGACCCCACTTTACAGTGAGGAAACTGAGGCATGGAGCAGTTATGAGACACAAGAAGGGGGAATTGAGCTAGCAGTCGTATTCAAGCACTGTGTCTAGAAAACAGCCACCGTGTCTGGCGATGCCTAAACATGTCCCTTTCCTGTTACTCCTACCTCACGAGGCACGGGTGGCTGGTGCCCTTGTAAGAAGTAGAGACTCAGGGGCTCTGCCCAAGGTGTCTCAGGTGGCTGGCAGCATGGCTTGAAGGAAGAGGAAACTGTCACAGAAGCCCGGGATATGAGGGCTCATGAAGCCACCACGAAGGGTGAGCAGATGTGACCAACAGAAAGGAGGCAAAACTGTTCCCTTGGGGTCCCAAAGGACAGGGCTGGGATGAACGGGTGGGCATTTCAGAGACTGGGACAGAGGCAAAGCTCTGTCCCAGAGGACAGAGGTGTACGAGAGTGTGTGTGCAGGCCAGGGGTTGATGTGGGTGTCTTCCTCTCATGCTTTATTATTATTATTATTATTATTATTATTATTATTATTATTATTATTAAAGCTTTATCTATTTAACTGGGTGCAGTGCCACACACCTATAATCCCAGCACTCTGGGAGGCAGAGGCAGGTGGATCTCTGCATTTGAGGCCAGCCTGCTCTACAAAGCGAGACCAGGACATCCAGGGCAAAACAGAGAAACCCTGTCTTAGAAAAAAGAAGATTTCTTCGTTAACCTTATTTTTATTTTACACATGTTAGAGTTTTGCCTGTGTATTTAGCGCACCATGTGCATTCGGGTGACTAAAGAGGCCAGAAGAGGGAATCAGATTGCTCCTGGAAGTGGAGTCGCAGCTGATGGGCGCTGGAAACCAACCCAGGTCCTCTGCAAGAGCAGCAAGTGCTTTTAACTGCTGAGCCACCTCTGCAGCCCTTCCTGTTCTGACAGTTTCAGACATGTGTACAATGCACTGTGCTCATATCCATCCCCACTCCCCTTGGCACCCCAACATGCCTTCTTCTCTCCCACATCACGTGAGTGCTGGCTCACCCACCTTCACCTAATTCTCTGAGACTTGTTTCCCATTAAACATGGAGCACGCCAGGGAGGCCAGACTGGCTGGACAGCAGGCCCCTAGAATTCACCTCTTGCAAGGGTGTGCTGCCCTACTAGGGCTTTACCTCTGTGCTGGGAATCTGAACTTGGAGCCTCATGCTTAAGCGCAAGCACTGTACCTCTTGAGCCAACTCCCCAGTCCTCTAGAGAAGGCACTTCCTAAGGATCAAGGCTACAAGGTCTGAAGGCCATGGCTTGAGCTTGTCACAGTCCATGTGTCAAGAAGGGAGCAGGGTGTCCAGGCTTGCTCTGGAAGTGACCCTAGGGCCTGGCCATTGGGCCTGGCTGCCTCTCTTTTCCAGGCTACTGATCTTTATTCATCACTACACACTTGGCTGCCTGTATCTGTTCCAACTCTTTCAAAGCGTGGAAGGCCGGCCTCCCGGCAGGGCTGGCACTACAAGAAGACAACCTAAAATTCAGACCTAAAACCCTGCTGACCCACAGAAGGGTGCCCGTGTGCCTGCCGCTTTGTCTCCAACCGTCAGGAACCTACAGGCAAATCTCCTCGAGCCCCCTCCTGCAGAGCCAGCTGGCTTCCCTGGGCCAGCTGCCTGCTGTCATGGCAACATACTTAACTACAGCTTCCCAGCGAGGGGACCAGCAGAGATGCCTCCGGGACCCAGGTCTCCACCGACTGCTGGCCCCTTTGCTGAGGCTACCCACCTCCTCCTTCCACTATCTGATGATAGTGGATGAGCTTCCTCATCCCTCCCAGCATGCTTCTTCTCTCTGGGCCAGAAAAGACAGGTGGCCGACCTGCTCATCTGCCTCCTCCCCAGGCATTGAAAAGAGAACAAGACGAAAGCCAGGGCTCAAGACCGGCTCAGCCAGCACTTGGCTCTGTGACCTTGTGTTAAGTAGCTGCCGCTCTCTGGACCTGAGCTAAGGGTTGTTGGTACTATATCATCCCTGATCAGGAGGCTAGCTGTTTCCAGGTCATCTGTTGGTCTCCTTGTCCCAGGTAAGTCTGCAGAGCTGATTTCCTGAATGCATTTGCAGTTACTTCACTAACTTGCTGTGTGGCTCTGAGCTGTCATTTCTACTCCCTGGGCCTCAGGCTTGTGACCTCTAAAATAATGTCAACATCATTCTTACGCTGCCTTCTCTTAGACCTGCCATGGCAAAGGAGCACCGGGAGTAGTCCAAAGTAGGTGGGGGTGCTGGAGCCAGGCCCTGCCCACCCATCCACAAACACAGACCACAAGCAAACACTCACTCCGGATCTGCTTCTTGATTTCCTTGGAGGGGTCCAGCCAATTCTGGAAGAGAATTGAAGATTTGTCCCTTAGGAAAAGGAGTGGAAAGGGTGGGCTGGGGGACACAGCTCTCTGGAAGAGACCAGCACAGCCTCTCAGAGGGGACATTCTTGCCTGGATCCACTTACTTGGCCCTAGGGAATGAGGCCTGGATTCCCAGCAGGGTTTGGACATGGTATCAGGGCTGGCATTGCCCTGAGATGGCACAGTTTAGCTAGGAAAGTCAGGCAGCCCTCCAACCAGGGTGGAAGGAGGCATTGGTTCCAGGGGACCCCACACGGCTAGGCCACGGCTCTCTAGCTATCCACTGGGAGTATCTTAGAAAAGACTAGAGGCAGGGAGCCAGGCCAGAGACCTGGGAGGGGTTAGGGCTGCTGATGGAGGAGCAGAGGGTGCCCACTGAAGGTCTGGGGAAAGCCAGATGTGGTGAGGCCTATAGAAACCCCCTGCCCACCCGCCATGACAGGCCCCCAGCGCGGTACCTTCTGGCTGTCAGCATCACAGAAAGTCAGGCCGAAGTAGTCCTTCTCCAGGAGGTTGAGGTGCTCACAGACCAGGTCAAACAGCACCTGGCCCCGGCCGTGCTTCTGAGGGAGAGAGAAGAAGTACTGTGAGGCTGGGGACCCGCTGGTGGGGCTGGGAGCTGATCCAGGTTCCAATGGACAAACAAAGAGCCCCCACAAGCCTCCTCGTGGCTGGGCAGGACCTCAGCCGCTGGCTCCGTTCTCCAAGTCTATATGTCCACTTCAACCTAAATCTCTCTCACAAGTGCTGCCAGGGTCTTCCTAGACTATGGACCTGCTTGGGACAAGGCTGGAGATTTCTGCTTAACAGGAACCAAGAGAAGAAGCTGAAAACGAAAGTCCTAAGGCTTGGGAAGTGAAAAAGAGACGATCCCCCTCAAAAGATGCAAGACCAAGCCAGGGGTGGGGGCGTCGCAGGATAGCGTGGAATTTGGAACCACAGTGGGACTATCCTTTTGCTGTCAGACCTGTGTATCAGGTGACATTCTTACCAAGGTACAGCCCCCTGACACCTCCCGGTGCCAGTCAGCTGAATCTTAATTTGGTTTGCCAAAGTAATGACCCTTTCTGGACCCCGATGTCACCAACTGGACAAGGGAGTACCAGGCCAAGCCATCCCTCCCGACATCACAGTTGGTCCTGCCCTGGTTTGGCTTGGACTCGGGACCCACGGGAGCTAGCCTGGCACTGAGGCCAGCCAGCTCAGGGCAGGGCGTATGGCGTGCTCCCTACCTCCACCTCACACTCGTACTCAGAGGCATCAAGTAGAGTGACTCGGCAGATGGCGCTCTTGAACTTCTTGGCGATCTTCTGGGGTGACTTCTGAGCCTTACTGGGGGTGGTCCTCTCCGACAGGCCATCGGCCTCACTGTAGTCCTTATCCTCCATATCTAGGCTCTGTGGGGCCAACCAGGGAAAGACATGATCAAACTTGAAACAGCAAAGAGCAGCCGGGCAGGGTGGTACACGCCTTTAATCCCAGCACTCAGGATGCAGAGGCAGGTGGATCACTGTGAGTTCGAGGCCACCCTGGTCTACAAAGTGAGTCCAGGATAGCCAAGGCTACACAGAGAAACCCTGTCTTGAAAAGAGAGAAGAGAAGAGAAGAGAAGAGAAGAGAAGAGAAGAGAAGAGAAG